AGGCTAGTTAGCATGGCCACACATGACTGCAGATAAACAGTTTTTCTGGAACGGTAAATTGTTTCTCCGATATTAGCATGCTGAGCAGCGAGTACATGAGGTTAATTGATAGCGCTAAGAGTATGAAACGTTTGCAAAAAATTTTTTTATTCATTTAAATTCAAAAATACTTTATTGATCCCAAAGGGAAAATACATATATATAAAAAAAAAACAATTTGTAAATGTTACTTACCGCTACTTTAAAGATAGATGGTATGAATAAAAAAAACAACGTATTTTCTCCTTTGGAATAAATGAAGTATTTTTTAATTGGATAAACTATTGAGAACCAAGGAAGAGATGAAACCGCAGGGAGACGAGATAATCCAGTTTATTCTGACAGTGTTTGTGATCAGAGTGTTTTAAAAGAAAAACCGCACAGGTAGCAGAAACCCAGACGGATGCCGTTTGCCTTCAATGATGTGAAAAGGTGTTGATTTGAAACTCACTCCAGAACCACGATCCAGTTCTAAGCCGAGCTCAGAGGACAAGCTTTGACAACAAACATGAGAAACGCACAAATTAACCCTGAATCACAAACTAACCCAGGAATCCAGGCGTTTTGTGGGCTGCCGTTTGTAAAGTTACACAGTAAAACAAAATAAACAGCAATAATTTGGTGTATTTAGGCTGCCATAGAGAAAAAAGGGGGAGTTCGTTTTTTAAAATCGTATTTTCACCATGTTAGAAATTTCACTTTTTTTCTCAAAAGTTTCTGAGCTAAGTCTCAAAATTTCAGATTTTTCTAGAAATTTAAAATTTTTCTAATTTTGAAATTTTCAAATTTTTCCAAGACAATTTCTGAAGTTAATCTAAAAATTTCTGCATTTTTTTTCTAGAATTTTTTTTTTTTTTTTTTTTTTTAACTCAGAAATTTCCAAGATTTTTTCCAAGCAAATTTTGAAGTTTTCAAACTTAAAAACTTTCAAGGTCTTTCTCAAAAATGTCTGAGTTTTTTTCTGGAACATTTTCGATTTTCGGAGATCAGAAAGTTTTTTGTTTTTTCCTCAAAATGTTTGCAGAAATTTACTCCTTTTTTAGGTTTAATACGGCCCTAATACACCGTGGTAGAACTGGCTGTTCGGACTGCTGTGAAAAACATCTGATTTGTGTTTATCTGCCTGCTCTGTGAACACAGATCTCTGCAATGTCTGCTTGATTGTTTAACATGAGCTGTAATACGGTGGGACTAAACATGTCTGATAAATAACTAACACTTCACATGAGTCAGCTTTAGAAGGGGACAACTTAATTTTCCAGAACTTAATGTTCATGTTTGTTTTTCTATGTACAAGCGGAAAAAGTGAAACTAAAAGATTTGTTTAGTTTTTCACTAAATGTGACTCCGGCTCAGACACAAGCAGCAGAAACTTCAAATCTGGTGCATTTAATCATAATTTAAAATAATATTAAACTTTCAACCTGATGATTTATTTTCTTTGAATGTTTAAATAGATCTTTACATTTTATAACTGAAAAAAAATATGATTTATTATATTTAAAGTGACTAATAATATCTGGGCTTCTTTTAAATTCTACACAAATCTTTGACTCTGATCCATTTCCTGCTTTGTGATTTAATCTGTTACATAACGACACCAAGGAAAGGAAGGAAGGACAAAAGGAAACAAGGAATGGAGGAAAGGATGGAGGAAAGAAGAAAAAAGAGAAGAAATGAGGGAAGATATAAAGGAGGGACGGACAGAGGAAATTCAAAAGGAGGAGAAAGAGGGATTTAAAGGAATAAAAGTCTGAAAATATAAATATATCTGCAAATTCCTGTTTTATTTTCCCAAATTTATCCAAACCTGGAAAATACCGGATTCAAATTCCAGAGTTTTCCAGAGTTCCTATGGGAACCCTGATTCAAGTGCTCCTGGTTGTCCCCTGGTGGCCAAACACGGCAATAACACAAAACCTTACCAAGGATTTTGTTCCTAGTTTTTACAGTAAACATCTTCCTACACTAGAAGTAAGACAAAGCTAACTTACAAGTAGCTTTTCAGCAAATAGTAGCTTGTTTTAGGTCAACAATCCCATAATACTGTTTGAGCAATATTTTATCTATGGAAGAATTTTTGGTGCAAAATTATTTGTGCCTTGTTACTGAGAAGTTGAAGTTGCAGAGAAAAAACATCCAATATAAGTTTTGTAACTCTAGATTTTTTTCAGTCTTTCACAAAAACAAAGCAGCAGTTATGGCTGTCCAAGTTCTTAAATACTAGACTTTAATTGTATTTTTTAAGTTGCACTTAAAAAATACAATTGATCCAAAACACCAAATGATCCAAAACAAATCTGTAATTGTTGTTTTGTATTTGTGAAACACTGGAAAAAAAATATACAATTACAAAATTCCTAGAGAATTTTTCTCTGCAACTTTAACGTCATAAATACTTTTGGACCAAAAATACCTCCGTACGTGTTTCCCATGTTATCTCTTTGTGTCCAAACTCTTGGGGCCAAAACTGGCAAATTGAAACTGCTGGAGGGTCACAAAATTCACTAAATTAAAAACATAAATTAGTTTACTGCGATTTATTTTTTTATTTTTTTTTTGCTTTCTCAACAATAAACTTTAATATTTTCATCAATATATTAAAGCTGCAGTGTGTAACTTTTATAAAAGTTAAATATTTTTTAGATATTTGCTAAAACTGTCACCATGTTGTAACAGGTTATCAGACAGATGATCTGTGAAAAGGTCAACCTCCTTCACCTCTTCCCTGAGATGCTATTGGCCTCTGAAGAAAACCATCAAAAACAACCAATTAGAGCCAAGAGGGGCTTAGCGCTGTCAATCAACTCATGTACTCATTGCTAAATGTGCTAACAGTAGAGAAACAATCTACCATTGCAGGAAACTATTTATCTGCTGTCATCAGTGGCTATGCTAACTAGCATTAGCATTGACAACACAATCTGCTAGCTCAGGGTAGCAGAGATGCACACAAGCATGACTGACAGCGCTAAGACCCGCCTTCTGACTCTGATTGGTTGTTTCTAGTAAGCACTGGGAGAAGGAAGAGGAGCTTGATTTTTTATTTATTTATTTTTTCACAAATTATGTCTCCTAAACTGACATGGAGAAAACACCAACAAAAATATAAAAATCAAAACATTTTTAAAATAGAAGTTACATTCTGCAACTTCAAATAATAACTGACTACTATATGTTGCTGAAAAGTTACTTGTAAGTTTTGTCTTATTTAAGATATTTGCACTAGAAACTACACCAAAGATAGTTGGAAATATTTTGTGTTTTTTCAATGTGGAGCCGCTAAGCTGCAGCATATTTTGCTTATGTCTCTGGCCGGCTCCTTAAGGCTTCTAAACTGCATCTTAAATTCAAACAGAAGTGATTCAGATTTCCAGGTTTCTTTTTCCTTCTTCAAAGCAACGTTTCCCCCCAACGCTCGCAGCTGTGCACTGTGGATTTATTGGATGTGCAAAATGTTGCAAGAGGCAGTTCAGGTGACAGTGATGCTACACCGTGACGGGCTCGTGTGTGTGTGTGTGTGTGTGTGTGTGTGTCTGTGTGCAGGATGAACCCGGACCGCTCCGTCAAAAACACCAAATAAAAACACAGTGGCATTTCCAGGCTCCCTAAACAGCAGACAGTCACTTTATGTACAATAGAAGCTTCTTCATATATTAATAATCTTGTTTTTTTTCTCCTCCGTCGCTGCAGAGTCATTCTCTCCCGTTTGCGTTTATAGAGCTTTTAATATTTACAGTATAAATTACTACGCAGTCCTGTGGCAAAAATAAATAAAGGAAACGACCGTGGCTCTGTTGCATGATGAAGCCGAGGCTTTGCTGAGGAAGAGGAGCGGAAAGAAGGCGGAGAATTCGTCCTGAACGCTGCAGCATTTAAATCCAGCTCAACCTAAACGAGAAACGCTCAATCAGAAACAAAGATGGAGGAGAAAAATATAAAAACCCAGAAAAAAATGATCCCAAACTCACTTTTAACTGTTTCTCATCAAAGACATGAAGAAAAAAGAAAGTACACCCTCTTTTAACTCTCCAGAGTTTTGTGTTCTTTGTGGAAGCCGGAGTTCCCAGAGAGAACGCTCAGCTGCACCGGGAGAACATCCGAACTTTGACAGAGAGCAAACTGAAACAGAAAAACTGTGTGGAAAAACTAAGTACACCACTTGACCTAACGTCATCTGATCTCAGTGGAGAAACTTTGAGATTTGTTTCAGCAGAACTGCAGCCCAGAGCATCACTCCTCCTCCACTGTGCTTCATATTCAGCATTATTCAATTTAACTTCAGCTGAAAATTACAATTATTTAAAAAAAAACAATTATTTCAACAATTAATTAGATTAAAAAAAATTGGCACATTCTGCAGATTTTTTATGAACCACCAAAGATTATTTTATACAATATCAGAAATACATACAAATGCAAATAAGAAAATAAACATTTTGGAGCCTAAGATCCAAAAGCAGAATTCTTTAAATTATTATTTTTAGGAAAGGATGAACATGCAGCTAAAAAAATACTCTTGAAAAAAATCAGTTCTATGTTTTTTGGATTAACAGATTAATAATTGGATCGCAAATGATGATTAATATGAGATCGTTTTTTGTTTGTCTTAAAGAATTTGAACAATGTTGAAGCTGAAAAATGATTTGAGGAGTTCTGGGTAGAAAAGATTTACAGAAAAATATATTTTATCTTTATCTTAAATCCAAAATGCTTTTACTTTTTGTACAGTTTTGACTTATTTAATACTCTGTGTTTTTCTTTAGGTAAATAGCTTTTTAGCAGTATACTGTATACTTCAGTTAATGATTAATTGATTACTAATGTTAGTTTATTTCAAACGTTGATTAATCACCATGAATCTGATTAATCGTTTCAGCCCTACATTTGACCAAAGTCGTTATCCCAGAAATCTTCTGGTTCAGTCAGATGCAGTTTGGCAAACTTGACTCATTCTGCCATTTCTTTTCAGGAACAAGCGACTTTAGAGCCATCCAGTCATGAACTTTGACCTTTAAGCATGCTAACTGCAGCCTGTAGGGGTTGAGTTGGAGATTTGGGGTTTCTGTGTGTTGTGGGATTTGAATTTGAAGTGACCTTACAGCTGATTAAAATGTTTTCCACTCCTCCATCGCTTCTCTGCATTTGATTAGCAGCACCAGGCTGAAACCCCCGTATATAAAGGGTGTACTTACTTTTTCACCACACAGATTGTATATTTAGGATTCGTCTTTGTGTAATAAATAATGACAGTGTTGAACCTGATGTGTTTCTCCCCTCCTGAGGTTGGATTTAAATAGTTATAGAGGGTGCACTTTCTTTTTCTGGTGTCTGTGTTAGCAGTCAGTATCTAACCTGCAGTACGCAGCAGTCAGGTGTTTGGACAGTCAGGAGAAATCTCATCTGGAAGATGTTCTCTGCATACTTGGTAATAACAAACGGCTTCCTCCAGGGATAAAACTTCAAATAAAACTTTACGTCTGAAAGGTTGCAGACTTCTACAGATCCAACTTAAAGTAAAAAATTAAATTTTAAGCACATTTAAAACATAAATTTAAGCATTTAAAGGATTTCAGTCATAATTCCTGGATGGTTCCTGTTCTCAGAGTTTCACCTGAAATCTCTCTGACTCCCGTCTGCTGCAGGTAAGACACTAGCAGCTCAAAACTATTCTGCATAACCCCGTTTCTCTAATACCGACTTGTAAGTTTTGCATAAAACGGAAATAAATATGAGATTTTTTTTTTCAGAGAAAGTCCAGGAGTCAGGGTCAGAGTTTCAGCGATCAGAGACGCCGAGGGTTTGGTTCTGGTCGTTGGCCCCAAAAGGAGGTTTAAGAAGAGGAAGGAGGCGTCAAACAGAAGAGGAGGAGGGATGAGTGCAGAGTTTTTCCTCCAGCTATACCACCGTTCCACTCGGAGAGTTCCCGTTCTGTGCTGCCAGGTTCTGAAAGAGAAAAAAACGGAATCAGACATAAATAAAGGTCTAAACATTTTATTCTTCTTCTTTAATTCCTTGTTAAACTGCAGCAGGTTCCTGCCATCAAGCCAGACATCTTATAGAAAACACTTTGAAATATAAAAGTCAAAACATTTCTAGTAAAATTGTCTACAAAAAAAGAGTTGGAAAAGTCAAAAATTTGCTAGAAAAAAAAATTGAGATTAATCCCAGAAACTTTTTGAACAACAACAAAAAAAAGAAATTTGAAAAGACTTAAAAATGTTAGTAGAAGAAAATCAGAAATTTTGAGATTATTAAAAATTTTCTAGAAAAAACATAAAAATTTCTGAGATGGAAAAGTTGAAAATTTGCTTGAAAAAAAATAAATTTGAGATCTCAGAAATTTTTGAGAAAAACAAGGAAATATCTAAGTTTGAAAAGTGAAAAATCTCTAAAAAAATGTAAATTTTGAGCTTAATCTAAGAAATGTTTGAGTTTCAAAAGTTGAAAGTGTTTTACTTGTTTTCTTCTATAAAAATTGAATCTCAAAATTTCATTTTTTTTTCCTAGCAACGTTTTTTTTTACTTCTGAAGCTCAGAAACTTCCAAGTTTTTTCTAGAAAATTTTTGAGTTTTTTGATGTAAATTTACTCCAGTTTTTATCTGAAGCGGCTCTAATGCTCTGTCGAAATCTCCATTCCTCAAGGGAACATGTTCAGATTAACATCACAGATCAGCAGGAACCTTCAACTGTTAGCCTGTTTGGTTGCAGTGTTTGGTCGTGACGCCTCGGTGCAGACGTACCGCCTTCCCCGGCCGCGCCCAGGTGCAGATCAGGCCCTCCTGGCAGGCCGTGATGATGCAGTCGTCCATGAACACCAGGACGGTCAGCCTCTCGTGTGCGATCTTCTTGCAGACCAGCGGCTCCAGCAGCGGTACTTCGTGCATGCGGGGGCAGAGCGTGGTACCCAGCACCTTGGCGCCGTCCAGCCGGTTGCTGCGGGGGGCGACGTTGATCTTGTCGTTGCTCTTGCTGATGTTGCCCAGGCTGTGGTAGCGCTTGTGCTCCTTCTCCACGCCGCCGCTCCCGGACTTGTCCGACTTGCGCTCCTGCAGGGACAACGTGGCGAAGCGGCCGATGCTGAAGGGGGCGCTGTTGCCCCCGCCGCCGCTGCCCCCTCCTCCGCCGCCACCGCCGCCGCCCTCGGAGGCGCCCGGACCCTTGGAGGCATTCGCCACCGCCGGGTGGGGCAGGGAGTTGGAGCGGGACAGGGAGCGGGGCAGCGGCAGGGGAAGCGTCGGCGGGTTGGCGCTGCCGGTGTTGGCGCCCGGCGGGTGATGGTGCCCCTCCACGCCTCCGATCCCGCCGCCGCCAGAGCTGCTGTTGACCCCTCCGCTGCCAGAGTTGGGCAGCGAAGGGCCGAAGGTGTTGGTGAAGGCGCGGGACAGGGGCAGGCGGGGGTACAGCACGTCATCCGTCAGGTCCCACAGACAGAACTGCGTGTCCTGACCCACCGAGCCGAACCGGTACGTGACGGACGGCGAGCCGCCGCCTTTCGAGCTGTGCCGCGAGAGCCGCGACAGCGTGCTGCTCGTCCGCACCCGGCCGAAGTGCGTGGAGTTATTCTGCGCCCCCTGGTGGAGGTCTTCCTCGCTGCCGCTGAGCTCCATCGGCTCGTCGTCCTCCAGCGAAGTGGTGAAGGGGTCGAACGCCACCACGTTGACCCATGACTTGTGGCCGTGGCCGCGCGCCACCACCCGGCTCTCGGCGAACGACCAGACGGTCACCAGGTCGTCCTCGCCGCCGGTGGCCAGGTACTTCCCGTCGGGGCTCCAGGAAACACAGAGCAGCCCGCCGAAGTAGCTCTTCATCACGCCCTGCAGCTCCATCGAGTCGAAGTGGAAAACGCGCAGGCAGCCGTCCTGACCCACGCACGCCACGTGGACGCCGTCCGGCGAGAAGGCGAACTCGTTCAGGCCGCCCTCGCCCACGGCCCACCGCAGCAGGGGGTTGCGCGGCGTCTTGCTCTTGCAGGCGTAAACAGCGAAGCCCTCGCCCTGCCGCAGCAGCGAGTACTGCGGAGCGGTGGTTCCACACGGATGATCCACGTTGTACAGGTAGAGGTGACCGCTGGCGTGGGAGGCCAGGAACAGGTTCTCCGACTTGGGCAGCCATTTTAGGCACGTCACCTTGGATTTATCGATCAGCCTCTGGAAGAAAATAACACAAAGTTTGTTTGTTATGAAAATACACACAGATTAAAAAGTGAAAAGTATGTAACAGTTATTTCATAAATGTTTTTGGGAATCCTTTATGCATAAGATGTGGCACTGTAATGAAGGAGTCTGTAAATGTCATGAAGTGTCATCCAGTAAAAGTTTTAGTTTTACTGGCTGATTATTTCACTTACGACATGGGAAAAATGTCATAAGTGAAATAATCAGCCAATGGAACAAGTAGCTTTTGGCTTTTAATTAAGGAATTATTGACTTAAAACAAGCTCATATTTCATGCTGAAATGTTACTTTTAAGTTACTATTTGCACTAGAAATTAGACCAAAACTACTTGGTCAGATTTTGTGTTTTTGCAGTGCAGAGTGTTAAAGGGAATTTTGACCTTGATCTGTAAGTCGCTGGTCTGAAGAAGAAGCTTCACACTGTAGATTTAATAAACTAGAAATCTATTAGACAAACTAGATTTCCCCTAAAACTGAATCAATGCGACAGAAGTCGTACCTCCTCGTTGAAGAGCTTACTGGTTTCCTTCTTGATGGGGTCGAGGTACTGGACCTGGCCGGCGGAGAAGCCCACGATGAGCGCCACGCTCTCCGCCGTGGCCGAGTACTGGTTGAAGTCGTGACACGTTGGCTGGGTCCCCTTGTAGATCCTCTTGTCTATGGGTTTACTGAGGTCCACGGCCTGCAGGGCAGAAAGGTCACTGAGGAGAGACTCCTGGCCACAACAGCTGCAAAGCCACTAGGAAATAATCCTGTACCAGTAGACCTGGTACAGTAATTAATAAATCAATCACATGATAAATAAAAACGATCTCAATAATTTTAATTTGCATGACTAATCGTTTTCCTCTTCCTACCAAAAACTGGATGATAAAAATCTTCAGTCTTCTGCTTTGGACTCAACTAACCCTTATTTTACAGAGACTTTCTGTTGTTTTGTTTATTTTAGATATTTAAAATGTCTTCTAGTTCCAGTGTTCAATGTTCACTTAAAATTTTAAGTTTATTGGTCAGTGAGAATGTGTTCTTGCATTATTATCATTATATTACGTGAAAATAGTCTCAAAATAACAATATTATCATTTATTGCAATAACTTCTGGGACAATTTGTCATCCAGTAGCCATGTTATCATAACAGGTCTAAGGATGAGGTGATTTTTCTGCCTTATAAAAATAGATGTATTTTACAAAACTGCAGCAGAAATACTTTCAACAGCTGGATGTTACCACTGGCAGAAATGACGAATTAGAAGACAGGAAGTAGGACGATGGTAGGAGATGATGGTTTGTTTCTTCAAAACGCAGCATACCGAGCTGCTCCCAAGTAGGCGGAGCTTGTGGCTTCCACACCCGAATAAACATCGAGGTCTCCTCTGATTGGCTGATACATGATGAGGGTCATGGCTGAATTATGGATTTATCTCCTGCGAAAAAAATGTTTCTATTCCACTTCTGCAAAATAAGTCTATTCCAAAACGGCTGAAAAACCACCTCATTAAAAGCATTAATAGCTTTTAATCAAAAAAACAAGTTTTGTTTTTAAATGGCTGTTTCAATTTAGCAAATAAATTTTCTTCTATAAATTTGCTCAGTTTTAGGGTTAATGGACACGCAGTTTGTGAGAGCTCTGGAGGAGCCAGCTGCAAAAACAAACCATCATCCTCCTGCTGCTTCCTGTCGTCTTCTTTGTCGTTTCCGCCAGTAGTAAGATCCGGCTGTTGATCATGTAACTTGTGTCACGCTAAAAGTGTTTCCATTACAGTTTTCCAAAATACAAAGATAGATGGATGTAAATCAATACCGCCGAAATAACCACCTCATCCTACAGCGCAAAAGCCTTCAGGAGTTTTTCCTAAATTTTCTTGTTTCCATTAAGAAATAAAAATTTTCTATGTTCTGTTATGGTTGTTACGGTTCATTTTAAACGCAGCCAGTGAGTGAGTTTGCGTGGAGTATTTCAGCTGGATGCTGGCTTCCTGCTCCTCCAGCATCACCGGGGCCCTTCTGCAGATTCCTCGGACTCTGCATCCATTTTGGCCGCCCCTCATCCAGGAGGCCCCGCGATGAAAACCGGCTGAAACTCGGCGGCCAGCAGGTTAGCAGGCTGGGCTAAAGCGGCGCCCCGGAGGCTCACCTTCTTGATGTTGGTGTAGGTGTAGAAATACAGCTCCCTGCCGATGTTGAAGCACACCCGCTCCGACTCCTCGCTCGGGTCTTCGGGCTGCAGCTTTACCATGGAGACCCGGACAGGCGGCAGGAAGCCCGCCGGGGAGGAGTTGGCCGCCGCATTGGAGGAGGACGAGGCTGCGGCGGCCCCGGGCCCCTGCAGCAGCCCGACCCCTGCGCCGGGGATCGGTCCGGGTCCTGCGCCGGGCCCCAGCGTGGCTCCAGCGGTCGGGCCCCGCGGCAGGCCGCCCCGCTGCTGCGAGTCGGAGAGGGTGAGCAGCTTGTAGAAGCCCTCTCTGGTCCGGAACTGGGATTTAATCTCATTGATATCCTTCAGAGCGCCGCCATCTCCGGCCATTTTCAGTGCAAACGACCGCACAGGAAACACTGGTTCTGACCTGGAAATAAAAACACTGCGATGGGAGTAAAAAATAAAATAACCGAATCAGGACTGATGGTGATGGAGGAGAGCAGCAGCCGAGCTCAGCCAGGCCCGCTCCAGCACACCCGGTCCGGTCCGGTGCATCCTACAGCCGCGCCGCCGCCGCCTGCAGCCGAACCCCGCGGAGGAAGCTTCTCTGAGCCGGTGCGAGCAGCAGCATCCTCCCGCTGGCTTCCAGTGTGCGTGGAGTGCGTGAGGCGCGGTGCGTCTGCTGCTGCTGGTCGGGCCTGGCACTGCGTCGGTGGTCCGAGGGAGGGCGGATAGAGACAAGACATCCGGGCTGGGTCACCCAGTGGCACCGAACCGGACCAGCTGGGAAACCCGCGGTCCAATTAAAACACATGGAAAACAACAAAAACCACGGCGCATTAGGGCTGCTGATAGAAAAAAAGAGTAAACTTCCGCCAAAAAGTCTCAAATTTTCTAGTGAAGCGAACATATGAAAAGTCCAAAATTTGCCAGAAAATAATAATTTGTGAAAAATTTGCTAGAAATCTTTTTTTTTTTTTTTTTTTTT